AAAAAAAAAATCTGAGGCGGGCAAACCAGCTACAGTGCAAACACTAAATGTTCTTAAGGTTGGATTGGAGGACTACATGACGCTGGAAATAGCTGAAATCCGCGCCATTACATCAAAACTATAGAACCATATCACTTGATTAGACTAAAATGGGATTTAGCCCAAATGTACAATAATATATACTTTGTGTTTTAGAAGCTTTAATATGAGAATTGCATCGTTTTCATTTATTTATATTAGACAGTACGTGCAGTCTTTTGGGCACTAACCGTAACCAGAATCCAGGAAAGACGTGAAAGTGAAAGAGAAGAATGATCAGTTATGAATAAGAGCTAGATTTTAATCTCAAGAGACCATCCTAGAAAGTCTGTGATGAAACTGAACACAACCACCAGTTTCCTTTTGTGACCACATGAACCATGTCCGTTCAGAGGGCCCCAGGTGTGGCGTTCACTGCCATTTTCGTTTAAAATCATTGCTGAGTTTTGTTTCGGGCTATGCTGTCTAAAATGTTTATTTTAACCGTTTTGTGCAACTGCAGTGCAGTTTGTTTCCATTGCATTTGTTGTTGTTTTTTTCATTTTCAACTTGGTTTTAAATACACTGTTTAAAAAAAAATCTAAGAAACAACACTGCACTGTGTTCAAATATACTACATAAATAAATGATATGCATGATGATAGCAGTTTGTAAGGATTGTTTCATAATGTATTGTTTCAGAAGTCTCTTCTGTAACACAATTATTTAATAAAAGGGTTTATTTTTAAAATGCATAATTATGTCACTTCTTAGCAAGTCTGTTTGAATTTCTGTCTCATGTGGAACCATGCCTCTCTAAAGAGAGACAACACGTTTTTCACCTCTAAATATTTGCTAATTTTCTAATGATTACTTTTCCTAAACTATTAATCCAATTTTGACATAATCAAGCTCTTAACTGTAAAACCATGACTTTGCATTTGACCTTTCTTGAAATGGAAAATCCGTAATGCTGTATAGTTGTTGGTTGCAATGTTTTTAAAGCACAATAAAATATCCTGTAAGTAATGTTTTTCATTCACTTTGACAGTATGAAGTTGAAAGTGCTGTGCCTCATTTCACTATAACCTTTGGAGCGGTGCCCTAAATTGGTAAATAATTAACCTACTTGGTTGTGGAGACAGACACATGTCTGTGTATGGATGCCAAGTGATGAAACTAATATACATGTTTACATGTAGTTACATGTTTCATTGTTTGGGGCACCAAATGAGATCCGTGTTTCATTTTGGTCAGTGTTTATACAAATAGAGATAAAACAGGCATAAATAATAAACAGGCCTAAAACAAAGGTAAGATTACAAAAACGGTAATGGAAAAAACCCCACAGCCTAATAAACCAATAAAAATCGTGGGTTTTTTTTGTTTTGTTTTTTAAAAAGTGAAATGAAAACACAGTTTTAGACTACAGGGCTAGACTAGAAACTAAAGAATGGGGAACAAAGCAAAGAAATCACACAAATTACTTTCAGTTTCAAGTGCAAAATGTTTTTTTCCTTCTTTTTTTAAACTTTGGGCATTTCGGAATCGTTAAATACAAGGAAATCGTTATTTAGTGCATTTCACAGAGGGTTGAACCAAAAAGATCAATGCGTAGCACTAAACAGATCTTTTAGCACATGTTTGAACCGTCACATGATGTGGATTAAATATTTCTCACTGAAACCTTTAGTGAAACGGTGAAAGTGATATTACTTTAAGGTACGCCAACATAGTGTGTGCTGTCGCTTTTCAGTTGCTGTGTGACAGTCAAGTGAGCTTATGACGACGTGTCCCTGAACGCAGCACCAGTCCGGTTCCCGGAGACTCCGCTCCTGTTCTTCCACTGAGCCGGACTCCATGTTGTTCGTCAGCCACGGAGTGAACAAGTTCCCTGGCTGAAAACTCTCACGTTGCAACTCTGTGTGTGCGAGAAGTTAAGTGTGTGCGCGTGCGAGTGTGTTGACCCTCCAAAAGAAGATGGCAGACTACCGGGATGACACCGGGGCTCGAGCCCTGCTAGCTTTACAGTCGGCTCCGTGCAGCCCGGTGCGCGTCGCGGTGACCTCGCACACCTTTCACCAGCCCTCGTTCGCCCTTCTGGGTCCTCCGGTGATGGATGCCCGCACAGACGCCGGGATTCTTCCCGTGCGGCTCGCTTCTACTCCTCCGCAGGCCCTGGCCAGGCTCGAGGGCCGGGACTTTGAGTATGTCATGCGCCAAAGGACGGTCACCATAGGCCGGAACTCTTCTCACGGCTCCGTGGACATCAACATGGGTCACTCGAGTTTCATTTCCCGACGGCACCTGCAGATCACCTACGACGAGGCGAGTGGCTTTTCCCTCCGGTGCCTGGGCAAGAACGGTGTATTCGTGGACGGGGTCTTCCAGCGAAGAGGGGCGCCACCACTGCCGCTACCCAGAGAGTGAGTGCGGTCAGCTAAGCCTAGCCGCTGCAGTCAGGCTTCCCGTGATAACACGGTGGCTGGACGTCGCAGGGCTTCTCACACTAAAGTTTATTTTATGCACTAACAGTGGAGGTCTTGCGGTTACTTCAAACAATAAAACGACTCAATTGTAAACCCACGTTAGCCTCACGAATAGATTTCTGAACACTGACGGGGAGAACATTAATACAAAACGACCTCCACGATGACAGGGCCAAACGGGACACCTATCCTGTCCGGGGTACAAAGTTTGTCACGACACCCCTACCAGAGCGGCTTGGTGTTGCATAGTAATGGCAGCCTAGGTCTGGACAGTAAAGGTGGAACACGATAAGTTGTCAGGTCTCCAGTGTAACTCACAGCGATGTTATGTTGTCATATTCAATTAATATTCAGTTTGCCCGGATGTTCTTAGTGGACCCCTTCAGTTTTACCTTCAACCCACTGAATGAGTGAATCAGTCTAGCTAGTTTTAGCCGTTAGCAAACCTAGCTGCATTTCCCCGGCCTGCTGACAAGCATAAGCAGTTAGTGAATTATTATTTTTTCTTTCGAAGTGCTGCAACTGGTTGGTGTTTTTGCATAAGTACGGCGTGTTATATTGTCTTTGAAATAACTTTTTAAAGTAATCTAATTTTCAAAATAAACGAATCGGCACACCTTGTAGCTTCTGAGTGATTATGCTCGCTACTAGCTCTTAGACTATTGGCCGACGTGTCACGTAAACATTAATGTAAACAAACGCATCCCAGACATGTCATCTCATGGTTCTTCGAGGAAGACGGGAGTTTTTTGGTAAATATTGAAACTTGAAACACGTTTTTCCTCTTTTTTTGTTGTATATCTCGGGTACAGTGGGATGTAGCTTTTTTTTCCACTGCGGTTGCAGAGCTGTCGCGTTTACACACGTTGCTTTCACTGGTTTGTTTAGTACAGTTGCAAGCCTACAAACGGAAATCTTCGGTTTTGTGTATGTGTCAATCATAGGGTGGAGGCAGTATGAGTGTGTTTGGGTGGGGGGTGTCTTTGTCTTCTCTGATTGGCTCGAAACACTGTTTGGGGGTGTGTCGGTTATTGAACCGGAAGTGCAGACTGGGGCGATATCCTCGCTGCAGGCGCACATGACGAAGTAAACACTGACTTGCGAGCCAAGGCCACAGACATGTTTGCTTGGTTTGCTTTGGCCCTGGAGGGTTTTCTCGAGATTACAGAGCTAGCGAAACTGCGCCGAGTTAAAACATGAAAGACAACAATTTCTCTGCATTGTCATGATTTGCAAATTAATTTCATTATGATACTGCTGAGCAAAAAGACATTTAATTAAAAAAAAAAGACTGAGCTAGATTAAGTGCAGATCTAAACAAACGATAGTGGCTTATTAGAATTAATTTTCTCAAAGGAAAAAAAAATTAAACTATTAGCAAAAAAGTCCTTCAAATGCTGCTCTAAAATTCAGTTTACCCTTATATAAGACAGAAGCAGCAACAAACACTTTAATGTAAGAAGCTTGAGCAAACAAATGCTGTGCAACTTTCCCTAAAAAGTGACTAAAATGATTGGTTAGATTAAAAAAGTAAATTTAATTTTGCTTTCGTTTTGTGTTTTATCAGCTATATATTGCCACTCGTGT